CACGGCCATCGACCGACAAAACGGAGCCGGCGAAAAGGGGGACTGGAGCAGCTGATACAAGAACTCAGAGTGCAACACACCACTTAGTTAAGCATTCTGCAGTATATACGAGGATTATAGGCAAGGTCTTAGGAGACTCCAGAAAAAAAAAGAGATGGAGCATGCTCCTCGACACAAACAACACTAAAATTATCTCACTAACATCGCCACTGCACTCACAAAATATTGGCATGCCGGAACTGGAATACAGCACCCTCCATATGTGCCAAGATGGAAGACGAGAATATATTTTCGTGTCACTGATAGATGTGATAGAAGAATCCATTTGGTATAACAGTACTTTCCAGTCTATGTATGGCATTTTTCAGATAAATATGCATTCGACTTCAGCTTGAGCAACTATGTTGTTTCTGCGAAAATAAGGACTCAGGGAATTTCATTCGAAACAACGAAAAATTACCGACACCAAGAATCCCGGCGAACACAGATGCTTGACGTGCTACATCGGTTTTCGACGAATACAACACACTGATTGTTTTTTCTGGTTAGGGCGAAGAATTCCTCGAGTTGTAATTACAGTCAACAATGTGCCTTGAGGCACATTGTCGACCTCTTACTATCTCGTAAGTAAGTATGAAGTCTCCTCGGGTGTGCCTGCATTCAGAGGGGAATAGGTTTGGTATAGTTGTTAATGTACTATATCTCAAGGATAATGGACTTCTAGTTACACAATTTAACATCTTCATCGAATTTTGAATAAAAATTTCGACCGATTCTCAGCCACAACATAATTTTCACGGCTGGATTTATTTCTTTCTTGGTTAATAATAATAAAAGTAATAATAATCGTATTTAATGCCGGTTTACAGGCATTGTCAGTGGGGTGTTAAACACTAATCCGGCCACCAGTGAAAAACTCCTGTCAAAAAGGAATAAAAATAAAGCTGATGGTGGTTTTTTATGGTTTGGAGGTTTCAGGAGAAAAAACTGCCGCCCATCAAATGCCGACAGTCAATAAAGAGGGGGTAGCACCGTATCGGATATTAGCGGCCACCAATTCTTCTCATGAAGTTGGGGCTAGTATAAACAGAAGCGTCGAAGAACAGCTGTCGATGTTGGCTAGAGAAATCGTCCCTGGCGTGACTGACCATCGAGTTCAGAGACCACAAACAATAATAATAATAGTAATGATGACGATATTATTGATTTTTCCTCAGGACTCGTGGGTATCCGTTAATAGCAAGTAAGAATAATTTTCACAGAATTTTAAAACCGATTCTACACGATACTTAATACATGGTTATTAAATAAGTAGTATGTCACGAAGAATGATAGGCGAGCAGTGAAAAAACTCCCAAAATATAAACAAAAGGCGTATGACCGGATTAACACTATACGAGAAAAAATTGTCGGTCCTGAATGCATAAAATGCCGACAGGACCGGCCTGTGTGTGGTAGTGTATAACGTATTTTATGAAGGGGTAAGTAGGCAGGTCAGTCAGGACTGGCCTGTATGTGGTACTGAGTAAAAGGTTCGAAACGGGCATCATGAAGGCAGAGTTCATATGCCGTATGAGGCCATTCCTGTCAAAGTGACGAATAGAAAACGCGTCTCGAAGAGATAGGAACCCAGATGCGATCGGTTAGTTAGCCGAGTCCAGACGAGGAGGGGGTAATGAAGATGCGACCAGACTACGAGTATATGGCGAATACAGTGGGTTCCGCCAAGAGCGTCGATAGAGCGCATTCTGTAAGGGGCACGATGCATGAACTGAAAAATCGAGAAAATTAACATTTCTGAAGAAGGATCCCAGGAAGCGATACTACACAACCAAGGAGAAAATGGGAGCGGACACGACAATTTAGTGGCAGCGTTCTAAATTCCCGGTGGCCCTTCCTCGGTGTCATAGGGGAAGTTGTCGGGGAAGGATGAGGAAAATAAGAGTTCGATCGACTCAGTATTCAGATAGAGGTGCAGTGCTGAAATCCGAGGAATATTTGAATTGTAAGTAATGCGAGAAGGAGAGAGGAGCCTGCTTCCTGTCTCGAATCCATAAAAATTTTGGGTAAGTTTTCTGACATCTACCTGAGTAGAAGATATTTGGATTTTCCCTGCCGAAGAGTCTTCTAGTAAAAAGTCTTTGAACATTGTCAGTTTTTTAATGTCAAGCTTCGTTTATCAAACCAAAGAATGGGCAACAATACTCGAGAATGGGTAGTACAAACTTACGATAAAGTCTTAATTTGATTTCGGGAAGATAAAAATTGTAAGAAATAAAGCCACAAATCTGGGTAGATTTGGCCGTAATTCTGTTAGCGTGTGGCGAGAGATCTAGAGTGTTGGTGTAGCTAAAACGTAAATCGTTGATGGTGGTACATTCAGTCATAGGTGTGTCTTGAAAGGCCACTGGTTTGGGTAGCCTTTCAGGTCCAGAACACATATAACGACATTTAGACGGAGAGAATTTCATTAGTCATTTTGAGCCCCAAGCGGAGAGAGCAAGCAAGTCAGCATGGATTTGCTCCAGGCAATGAAGGGTCGTAGATTTAATGAATGAATCTACACATTTGAGACCATCGGCATAAATAATTGATTGAGAACTTTTAACTGCCGTCGAGATATCATTTATGTAAAGCAGGGATAAAAGAGGACCATCGCTACGATATAGTCGATCAGTGAATTCAGCACCCAAAGCTGTAAGCAATCCATGGCGTGCAGCGTTCGGTAGGTTATTCTCTGTTAAGTGACACATCACCTTATCTTTGGTCACTGTCTATAAAATCTTCTAACCTGCGGAGAGGGTGTTTATTGGCCGAAAGTCACCAAATGACTTAGATTGACCATGCTTGGGAATGGGCAAAATGTGTGATTCCTTCAACAAGTAGGAAAGGTTTCACTTTCAAAGGCGAGATTAAATATCTTAAATAAGAGGGATGGAAAAGTACATTTGCATCCGCTTTTAGAATGCTAACTGGGTCACCATCAGGTCCAGGACTACGAGATTGATCAAAACGCTGAATCGCAACAGTCACATTCCACAGAGTGAAGGTTATAGTTTCGAGAACCGCCCTGGTCCAAGCCTGGATGGTTGGAAGCGGAATGGCTGTGTTCGATAAACGTTTTGGACAAGAAAGCATTGAAACTGTCGAGAAGAAAATTTCGCGAAGTTTAGAGAGAGTTTTTCGAAGAAGCGTATCTCTTCCGCCAGACGCTTTTCTTTGATCAATCTTTTAAGCACTCAAAAATATCATAAATCAAGGGCTGAGCGGAAACATCATTCTGAAGATGAACTGGATGAGGAAGTCTGCGCAACCTGCGGCGAAAAGGTAAGAGTGGGAAAACCTCAATCCCAACATTGATTATGTTCTTACGGGGGACAAAACGAGAAATAAGCGGATCCAAAATTTCGTACAGTTTTGCAGTGCAAACATTTACATCCGAACTAAGGAAGAAATCAGTCAGTATAATTCAGTATAATTCAGTATATATGAGGGATAGAGGCAGAGCCTTGGAAAACCCTATTTACAGATAGACGTATGAAAAAAAACATGCAGATATTTACATAGCAGTTATACCAGTCATTGATATCATGTAAAAGTTTGACCATCAAGCATAAGTTTATCTAGTCTTCTTTTGAAGGTCTCGACGTTTTCCGCTAAGACAACGGAGTTCGGCAATTTGTTCCATCCCTCAACCAGCCGGTGAGAGAAGAATTTGGCCCGCAAATCGAGTCTGGCATGTTTCATCTTCAATTTGTATGCGTGCCCTCGGAGATTTGTCGTCCGCGCCAGTTCGAAGAAGTCGTCAAACTGAAGAGCACAGTCTAGCCCTCGGACGATCCTGAAGGCCATGATCATGTCCCCTCTGTACTGTCCGCACAGGGGAGGGGTTAAACCATGCGAATGCAGGGTAGTTGAGGAAGCCAACTCCCGTGCGCGCGAGCCCGGTCTCACCCTTTGGTCTGACTTAGTCCAGTCGTAGGAGTTAAGGTGTGTTAATAATTCGGTCGAGCGTGTTGGTCGGAAGTCGAGGAAGAAGCTATACTTTGAGGGCAAAATTTTGTCAGCTTCCTGTTCTAACGTTGAAACAACGATGTCATGGTCTGAGCCCCCGAGTGGACCTAGGGATGACACTGATAAAGACATGGAACTTCTACAGAAAATAAGATCAAGTGTGCTTGATCCTCGGGTAGAAAATCGGCAACTTGAGTCCGCATCCCAACAGTCACAGTCTCGAGAAAGTCTTCTAACATTCTGGTGCCGGAAGGCGGAGACCAGTGGACTTCAGGAAGATTGAAGTCACGCGCAACTAACTCAATTCAATTCAATTCAATTATTTTATTAAAGACCCGTCGGGGTCCCATCAAAGCAAGTAAAAATAAATTTACATGCAAATTTTAGACGATGTAGGCAAAATCTGCACAAAGTGCAATGCATAGTTTTTGAGATTAGAAGTCCGTTAAGCAAAATGAAAATGAAAAAAAAACGAGGGGTGAAAAAAAAA